GTTTCCCTTTGCAGTTTGCCATTTCAGGGTAAATCCAGCCCTGAAACCACAAAACCAGTTTAGTGTTTGAAATTACTGCGTGAGACGATTGTGACTTTTATTGGGCACTTATCGTTAGTTTTCTTAGTTTAGTAATTAAGGTGGCAAACAGAGCAACAGCTAAATGACACTGCGTGAGAGAGGGCAGACTGGGCTACCTGCCACACTCGACGGAATGAGCCCATCTTAACAAGGAAAGCTCACATCTACAAAGAGACGTTGACCCATTTTGCTCTGCTGCCTGTGCTGTTCTGGCCATAAATCAAGATCAGAGCTCACTGCCAAACCAGGATCTCCAACATGGACCTGCTCCACTTTCCACTGCTGGGTCCTTCAGTCCACACCAGTTCACCAATTCTGACACATATTTGCATCAGCGGGCCTGGTCTCAAATCATAGGTGTCTTTCATGGTAAGACATTTCTCTTTTCTTTGTTGTTTCAAACTGTTGACTGTGAATTTCAGCTAATGAAAACTGGATCGTGGGATTTAAATTTGCTGTCAACTGGCTTATTTTGTGCGTTACTAGCTAACTGTTACAGAAAACAGCAGCAACTTACAAATAAAAAGATAATCCATAAGATTTCATGCAGAAACGTTAGCTGAAACAACCATCTGCACCCATCTAATACTAAATAAAATACTAAATGAAAACACAGGTTCTCATTTTGTAACATTATGCATGGTATTACATATGAATTTGACTCAGACGTGCGTAGATTTAGGTAGCGCTAGAAGGATTGTGAAAGATTGTTTGAAAAAAGATAAAACCATGTCGGCTACTAGATGTGAAACAGGACTTGTAACGTTGCTGACCCCATCATCCACCCCCACCTCCACAGGATCTTTGTTTCTGAGACAGGACTGTCATTATACACATGGCGACAGTCATAAAGATAGAAGTTATTTACCTGTTTAGAATTATCACCGTGGATTTAGAAGAACCAGACATTTCTGTAGGGATGGATGAGAAAACACATTTCTGTTTTTACGTGGACACATCATTTTGCTCACAAACACACACACCATAACATCCATCCATCCATCTTCATCTGCTTTATCTGGGGTCGGGTCGCGGGGGCAGCAGCCTAAGCAGAGAAGCCCAGACCTCCCTCTCCCCAGCCACCTCCTCCAGCTTATCCGGGGGAACACCAAGGCGCTCCCAGGCCAGCCGAGAGATACAATCTCTCCAGCGTGTCCTGGGTCTACACCTCACCCAGGAGGCGCCCAGGAGGCATCCTTGTCAGATGCCCGAACCTTACTCTGAGCCCCTCCCGAATGGTTCATAACATACCATAGTTTATTTATAGAGCATTATGGCTGACCAAAGTGCTGTACAACACAGATAAAGTTATTTAAATAGAAACTCATTCAACTTTTCATGCACACTTCTTTTTGCAGACCATTAACAGGGAGCTGCAGTTTGTGTGTGTTACCTGGGTTTTATCCATGCTGCGTGTTTACAATGCCACGTTATGAGGGTGTGTCTTCCTCCCAGAGACAAAAATGTAATCCATGCTACGTAAATTATTAAAGGTGAGGACATGATTTCAGGTTGGCATGTGTGTATGTGTGTAGGCAACTGATAGTTAAGTCTACAGCAAGTGTTCAGGAAATGAAGGTAAGTCACTGCGATGTGCACGGAAGTCATGAATACAGTAGTGTGTGTGTGTGTGTGTGTGTGTGTGTGTGTGTGTGTGTGTGTGTGTACGCATCAGTCACTAATTGGGCTGAATTTCATGGAGCAACAAAAGATCAGACTCGAAAATTCCAGCTCTGGTTTGTACAGGCTCCGCTTTGTTGTCCTTTCGCCTCTGTTTGCTGTGTTAACAGTTATGTGTCTCCCTCCCTCTCTCTGTCTCTCACTCTCTCTCTCTCTTTAGGTCTTTCTCTCAGTGTCTCTCTCACCCTTCTCCCCCCCTTTTTTGTGCGGCTCATGAAAGGCTTTTTACTCCAAATGAAGCACGGTCAACCCAACTGCTTGGAGCCAAGCAACCGCCAGAGGCCAAATCCTGCGAGGGGCTTCACCTTCTCGCATGTCTCTCTTCTCGCTTCACATTGAAACACAGACACACACACACGTTTTAGGAGACAGCTGCAATGAAGCCTAGATCTTCAGTGAAGAGGACCTTCATCAGTGTCTCCATCTATGGGAAAAGTACCGGTGCTGAGCTTGGACTTGAGCTTTTGGTCGGATTTTGCGTTTGATCTTAGAGTTGGATAAAGTTTGAGCACAGGATGATGCTAGAGATGCAAAACCCCGAGGATAGTGGTGGTGGTGTTGGAGGTTCTAGCTTTGTGGACATGCTGGGCACTGAAGAGATGGAGTGTAAGATCTGCTACTGCGCCTACAACCTGGGGAGTCGAAGGCCAAAGGTGCTTGAGTGCTGCCACCGTCTCTGCTCCAAATGTCTCATTAAGATCCTGGATTTGGGTGAGTCGCCTCCCAATGCCTTGGTGTGTCCGTTTTGTCGCTATCTCACTAGACTGCCGGGAGATGCTGTGAGCAACCTGCCAGATGACTGCAACCTGGTGGCAACGCTGACCCTCCAAAACAAGAATCAGAGAAACCGGCAGTTCCACCAGGAGGCAACTACGGAGCTGCTCCTAAGCCCCATGCGCCTGAGCTCACTGATGAGCAGCAATTCACCAGTGATATCTAATTCCTCCTCCACATCTTCCTCTACCCCTTACTCCACCATCCGCAGCTCGCCTAATTTTGTGGTCATTACGATCATGGAGCCTCCGCCCGCATCCATATCCACCCAAGACATCCATCCCTACCAGCAGATACATGGCTCTCACCTGTCAAACCAGGACTACCACTCATCCAGTCAGGACTCTATGGCATCCATCGCAGAGAGGTGGACAGTGTGGAACTGTGCAGCCCTCCTGTGCCAGACTTCAGCCCGGGCATTGGTATGGGTCCTGGGGCTCTTGTACTTTAGCTCCCTGCCTATGGGGGTTTACCTGCTCATAATGCAGAGGACAACACTCGGAGTGCTTCTGGTGAGCCTGGTTCCTGCCAGCCTCATCGTGATCATGGTCTATGGGTTCTGCCAGTGTATCTGCCATGAGTTCTGGGACTGCTTACCATCATAACGCAACCAAATGAACAGGCAATGCTTTGCTTTGAACATGCTTGACAATAGATCTCCAGAATTGACTGATGGGGATGTTACTGTGTAGCTAACCATGTGAACTGTTATTTGAATGGCATAAAGGTGGAGCTCATACATCTTAATTTGTGCAGTTTGTAGGCTGATAATTTACTTACCTAATAAAGCTCAAAATGTCAGATAGCTTCGACTAAAACACGACTTCTGAAGTCACTGTTTAATGTAATGCATTATGATGTTATAGTTCAAAATCTAAAGGAATGTACAGACTGTTCTCATCTCCACAGTGGCTGATTTACATACATGGTGTCCTCTTTTACCTATTCCCTGATACATCAGGTTAGCTATTAACCAACCAGCTTTCTCCCGAGTGCCATGAGTGGCAAACATAAGGTTTGAACCACAGGTGGGTGCAGCTCCTGTGGTCACAGCCAGAGCTGTGCACCTGAGATGCTCATATCAGAGCTATCCTATCATCGTGCAGAGCGAAGATTAAAAATAAAACTGACAGAGTATTTAGATCAGGCTGAACTTTTGGCTGATTGGGATTACTTTCACGTGACTAACGTCATCATTTGAAATTTTGGCCACGTTTAGGCACGAGCATCTGCCACTGTAGCAGTACATATCTGAAAGAACATGAGAAAAAACACAATAGGTACCTTTAATAGAGATATAATATGTAAAACGCAACCTGCAGATCAGCAGCAGAGATCTTAAACGTTGTCTCTGAGATCTTAGATTTGATCTTAAACACACTCATTGCTTGTGTCAGAGGGACAAATCATTTTGTTCCGATTAAAGCCCTGCCAGCTAAAATGATTAATTCCCTCAAATAGAATAAAAGGAGGCATCATAATAATGTTTGCTGATAACTAACATTGGAGGGAAAAGCAGGATCTAGCTGATATAATTAGTCAAACATTAAGCTAGTGTTTTTTTTTAAGACGTGGGATCTCTGCTGTCTATTCACAGAGTAATGTATTATTAGTCTGAGCCACCAGAGGGTGCTGTAACCATCCACCCCAACATCCACCTTCACTGCTGAGGTTTTGCTGGATGTCCTGTCCTTGCAAAAGTCTTTATTTCCAGAGTGTTTATTCAGGCTGTTAATCCTTGCAAAAAGATGTCAGCTAATGGAGTGACTGATAACTGACATCTCTGTCAATTAAAACAGTTAGAATCGGCTTCAGACCGGCTCAGATTGTTGTTTAAGATTTTGGTGCAAATGTAACAGCAGTGTTTACACTGTAAGTTTGAAAGTCAAATTAACAGTCATGTTTTCATGCTTACTTGCTATTGTCTGGAGCGGAGACGTCTGGAGAGATAACTGACTGAGAGATCCAAGTCAAACACAAGCTAATGAATGAGTATGAGATGAATAACATTGTACTGCTATCATTTGTGGCTTATTAAAATAGTCTTTAACCCTGGAATTTTTTGTTTTACCTTAATATAATAATACAAATACAAACCTTTTAAAAGGTGCCAAATTGACTACCAAATTACTCATTATTTTATCTTGTACTGGGTTAGACTAGTTTTTGCCTTCAGATCTACTGAGCAAGGTGTTGGAACTTCTCGCAGATTTTAGTCCATATTGACATGATGGCATCACGCAGTTGCCGCATGATGAGAATCTCCTGGTTCTCCTGGTTCTTGTATCAACAGTTCAGGCATCCATGTTATTATGTTCCATCCATCCATCCATTTTCTTCTACTTATCCAGTTGTTTACACCAAATTCTGACCTTCTCATCTGAATGTTGCAGTGTTGTCAATCAGACGTCGTCTTGACCACATGTTAAAGTTTAAATCTGTTGAGCTGAACAATTGGTTAATTAGATATTTGCATAAGCAGTTGAACGGGTGGATTTGGCACCAGGTGGCATTCCTGTCACAACTCCAAAGGGTGCCTGCAGCTGGAATTGAACCAGCAACCTTCCACATATCAAGTGAGCGTGTTAACTTCTACACCACAAAGAGCAAAAGAAAAGTGAAAGGTGTGCCTGGAAGTATATTATGTTCTGTCAAGTTAATGTTATACTAAGAACTGAAAGCAATGGCAAATAATATAGACATATAAATAATATATCGTATATATAAAATATAAACAATATAAAGTTTTTTTAATACAACATTTTATGCATGGGAAGCAGAAGCACAAAATAAGAGTGCTAACAAAGAACAAACTTAAGTTATTTCACATCATGCAATAAAGTGCCGATTCTTAGTCACATGCGTTTTAATTTATGTGATTAGTGGAGAAGCATAAACAGCATATTGTGACGTATATATATGCATAAAAACAGGGGCTTTATTACATCGCTCTACACAGCGTCACCATTGGTTAGAAGGCGAGCTTTAAATACCACTTTATTTGATTATTCTGCTCTGAATTGCTTTTTAGAAACTTTTATTCTTTATTTTCTGTCAGTTTTATTCCTCTTTATTTTGCAACACCCAGAACTTTTTCATGTAAAATCAGTACAAAGTAAAATGTGATCAATTTGGAATATTGGAATGGATAAATACAGAATTAAATTACAAAAAAAAGCACTGAAGCTAAGCCTTGATGTGGCTCAGTAGAAGAAGAAGGAAGAGGATCAATCCCACCAGAGCCCTTCTGTGTGGAGTTTTGTTTTTGCTTTCAGGAGTTCTGGTGAATTCTGTAAAAGAGACTCTTAATCAGTTTCACTTCCTGGTTTAATATCGTTCAAAAGGACACACCAACCAGAGATTCTCAATGTGTGAAAATCATTATTTCTGTAAAATGTTGCTGTTGATTTAAAATACTTTGCTTGTACAAACTGTTTTTATAGCTTATTTTGCTATGATCCTGGTTTATACTGCATTGATGTGTCATTAGCCTTTTCGTGTTTGAGCTGCTGAATATAAGATGATAACAGAAAATATCCCTTTCTAAAAAAAATAATTAGGATTGAATAAAGAGCTTCAGTTTATAGATGAATACATTTTCCACCACCGGTTTCAAATCCGAGCTTTCATTTCTGTTGCGCTATTATTTATTCATTCATTTGTTTAAGACACTGAGGAGCTGTTCCCAGCACAATTTGTACACATTCTGCTTCTACAGCACACGTCTTGCTGATGATAAACAGCCAAGGCCTAATGTGTGTGTTTTCCAGGGGATGTGAATGTGAACAACTGCTTCCCTACAGGGAGCGTAACATCATTTCAGATTCCTTTTTAGTGATGCAACGAACATTCCCACATGTTGGCGCGAGGGACATTCACAGACCATGTGAGCCAAACAAAACAAAACAAAAAAAAAAAGCCCTTTTAGTTTATAACAGTGATCAGAGCTGCTGGAAACAAAAACAAGACTAAACACGATCTTTAAAACAACTGTTTTAGTTCACTGGCAGGCATGAATTATGTATTACTGCCAAGCTTTTGTTTTACTTTCTGTCTGTGTGTGTTTTGACTGAGCTGGTTTCCTTTAATTTAACTATTAAAATATCAACTAACAGGGCTGGATTAGTGCTGAACTACACCCAAAAATATTCTCTGTTAATTAATAAGTAATTTGATTAGCTGCATGTCAGTTTAAAGTTCAAAACTCTGATGCTAAAACTTTTTACTGTAATGTTTATAGGCCCTTTAAAAAAATACAAGTTTAGGGAAAAATTATTACATAAAAAGTCCACATTAATCATAAGATACAACTTTATTAACACTAAATTTAAAAACCACCTTTCCTTAAACATCGGCTTCATAATTACCCCTCACTGTCTCTGGCCTGTATTTGTACAGCCACCATCCACCCCAACCACCTCCCTGATTAGCCCATAACATTTTCTCACAACAGAAAAACACTAGCAAACAATAGCAACGCAAATTGGTAAGAGGTTGTCTTTAAATTTACCTGATAAATTCATAGTACACATTGCACATTCAATTCGTGTTTATTTGACAGTTAGTTACTACATGAAGCACAGTAAACTCTGAAGAAAGTGCTAATATTTTTCAGAGAAGTATAAGACACTTGTACCTAGCGGAGGCCGGGGTTGGCGAAGGGGATTTGAATGGTAAAAAACGCAACTCACTCCGACCTTAATCAAGATTTTGAACTTTTTGTTTATACCCTAAACGTAGAATCATTAGTATCAACCTTTACTCCACTTTTATTACCTGTGCAATCGACTATATGTTGCATTCAGTTACTGTGTGCAAGTTACATGTGCTGTAATTATGTTTAACGTCTGCACAGTGAGGCTACCAATATGTATCACCGGGGCATCACTGTTTACAGTCCAGCAAAAATAGAAATACAGAGATGTAAACTGAACATAAGAGCAATTTGATTTAATAAACTTCTTCATGTTAACAAGTTTTTGATAAAACATCTTTTATAAAGTAATACTGGTTCAGTCTCGTTCACAGTACAAAAAACAAAAAATCTATGTAAACAAAAAAATGTATTTTAATGAAGCAAACAGTCATTGATATGATGTAGTAATTACATGTCAATTAATATATAAAAAATTGGCAAATTAAATAAGATTAGCCCCAATAAAACCCTGGCTGTCAACATGTGTGAGACTGAAGACAAAAATAAAAATGCAATTAATGTGCAGTACACTGTTAATAAACTAGTAGAAGGCACATCTATAGATATGTTACTTACACACTGAGCAACTGTAATTAATTATTATCAAGCTTCTCTATAAGTTCTCTGAAAATCCTTCAAGTGAGAGAAATCCTTCTAATGCTATAGAGTAGGGCTGCTGGAGGACTGGGGTTTTTTATTCATGTGATTCCACAGTGGAGTGGTGTACATGTTTGACAAACAAGTGTAAGATACCTGGTTTGATTCCATGAGGAAATGCAAGGTGAACTGAACCAGGAGTTCTGACAAGACCCCCCTTTGGTGTTCTGGGTATTTGGTAGCCATCATGGCCCAATCAATTATGCAGTGCAATTGGCCATGGTGACTACTTTTGAATATGGTGCAGCTGAAAGTAGCTTTTTTTTTGTCACTTATGATCTCTCCATGCTCCTCTTTTCTGTATTTCCTTGCCATCAGACCCCCTACTTGATCACCACAGATAGCTGCCCTTCCCCAAGCCTGGCTTGAAGTCTCTTTTCTGTTAAACAAGAGTTCTTCCTTCATTTGGTTGCCAAAAGCTG